GAAAATAGGATAAAATCGAATGCCACGCCTATAAAAATTGTATAAAAAAAAAAAAGAAAAATTTACTTACTTCCCTCTTGGTTGGTTGACATTTTTTTTTAAATGAAATTTCTGCGCTCGTGCCCAGCGCTGCAAAAAAAGGGAATTCCATGATTCAATTATTGCTTTGGTGCTTTTATATTGGAACGTTGGATGTTCCCCTTTCGTCCATTTTTAAATGACTTAAAAACTGAGAAATGATTTCTAATTTTCGAGTATTATTTAAATGTTATCATTGGTTTAAAAAAATTAAATTTATGCAAAACAAAATTGAAATATTCAAATACGACTCTGTGCGTGCGAAAAATTTAGATAATGCAAATCCTCAAATTCGACTCTGTGCGTGCGAAAAATTTAGATAATGCAAATCCTAAAATGCGACTCTGTGCGAGCGAAAAATTTAGATAATTTAAATACCATTTGAGGTTAGAAAAAAATACATTTCCTAACTTCATTGTGAAATTCAATAAGAAGTATTTAAAAATTGTCTACAAATTTAATTTGCAAAGTGAAAAACGAATTGTGAAATCCAATAAGAAGTATATAAAAATTGTCTACAAATTTAATTTGCAAAGTGAAAAATTAAAAAACAAACGTCCATACACACTAAAAACACTACGGTAAGTCCATTTATAAAATTAATGGAAAAGTTCGTTGAAAAAATTCGGCTAATCGGACAACAAGCATGTCCGAAATAAAATCTACATATATATATATTTTGTATTTAAGAGATGAAATGGACTTGACTTTCATATGCAGCTTTTGGATAATACTTCTCTTAAAAAAGTATCCTTTCATGTATGAGCAGTATTTTCCATTTTCTTAACATATTTTTTTACATTTAGTAATATATTAATTTTCAGAGTACATTCAGAATATATTTTGGGACACACATTTTTTCACAATTCTTTTTTTCACTTAGTTTTGAATTTTTCTATACACATCAAAAATATGATTTCTAAGTTTATTTCGAAAAGAGAAGTCTTGTTGGGATTATCTACTAAACCATTAAAAATGTAAAACATATTTTCCAAAATTTCTATGCGATGTCCGCCAATTAAATGATAAAATGTAACTTGGCATATATTTGACGCAGCGCACCAACATTTCCTACAGTAGCTTACGCATAGTTGCTGTTGTTAATGTTGCTGTTGAGCAGATGTATACGTACTGGCTTCACGATTGCGTCGGCTCAGACGGCCATGTTTATATTTATTCACATAGCACAATATTTATGCATTTGCTTAGAAAGATTTATTTATTATTGCATTGAATGTTCATTTAAATGTTTCTCTCTCTCTTTTCTTTTTTTTTTTGTTTTGCTTTTAAATTATATATGTAGAGAAATTATATAATTGTCTGAATTTCAAAAATGATTCAATGCCTTCAGTACATTTATAATAAATATAGTTATTATTTATGTCGTTTATATTCTATAAATTATTATTGACAGCAATGGGTTAATAAATGCATCACATCCGATACATAATAATTGCCATTTCACGAATATAGAATAAAATTTCAAACATAAAATGTTTAATATCATCAAACTAAACTAAATTGTGCTTAGCAAAGGAAAGAGATCGCAATGGGCAGATTGTGGCCGCAATCTATTGCGTGTACATCCAATTGGTAGATGCTAGGCCTCTTACTTGATTAAGTACTCATTGTAAGTGCGCCAACGTAGACTCCAGCGCACTTGAGACCTAAACTCGGGTGTCCTGATTTGATAATCGCAATCGTTGTCTACTCGGCTACTTATTCGCTTGTTAGTGCGCTACTTCGGACGTCTACAGCATCCGGTCACGTTTTAAAAAGAAAAACCTTATAAAACTTCTCTTTCAGGCAATGGAAATGTGGGGGATGTACTCGCCTCGAATGACATTTCAGACAATGTAAACCATTTGATGAACGGAATTAGTCATTTTCATATACTTGCTGCCTTTGATTTTTTGCGTAGGGCCATCTAAGCTGTAGAAGCAAGAAAAAAAGTTTAAGAAGAATATCGACCGCAGCTGACCCCAGTTCCCAGTTTGCATTTATTCCTTTGAGAGAGTTGCATAATACTTATAGTGATAATTAATACCATGGCGCGCCGTTGCATAGTACATTTCACATTCAATGTAAATTTTTAAGCCTTATAAAGCATTATTGACCTCATATCGACAAATGAAAAGTTAGATGAGATAATTGATATAGAAACTTGAAATGAGCGCAATCGATTTTATTAAATTTATATCAAATTTAATAAAATTTTTTTCTGAATTTTACATTGACGGTATGCTTACAAGAGCGGATTCCTTGCTGCATCAATGTGCTATTTTGCAAACTTTTACAAAAAAAACTTTTATCATTTCACACTTTTACGTAAATAGGAAAAGAAAAAGAAATTAACTATAATTGCAACCGCACTTTTTCAGTCCATTTGTTACTGAAGTGGATGCATTTGTAAGCTCTAAAGTATAAGCTATGAACTATTAACAGTAAACATCAAGCAACTTTTCATTTGCGGCTTTTGGTTTAGCTCGAAAAAGCACCAAAAATATTTCAAAGCTATAGCTAGTGAACACTACTGCAGGCTCTTCGCATGAGTTATGAGAATCTGGAAAAATGTATGATATTTAGTGTATACAGAAAGGATAGAACTCAAGAAAACGGCTTCATTCGATTTTCACGAACCGCTTATGTCTAACCTGGATTTTGCTTAGCCGAGTACATAGATGAGAGTTGCGAACACAATATCATAGTAATTGAATAGGACTATCAAACGCCTATAGACGTTAAGAAAATTATGTTCGATCGCAAAATCTGCCTGAACATTGGATTTTGAGCCAGAGGCGAATAAAAATGGCAGATATGATTAAAGGAGCGTAATGGTTTATTATTTGTTTTTTTGGACTTGCATCCTTTTTTCCGCTAACATTCTTGTCCTGAGCGTTTGCGTTAACTTCATTTTTTTGAAGGCTTTTGGAATGTGTACTATTTTGAACGTGTGATGACCATTTTGATTAAATCTATCGAAATTTGAAATAAATATTAAAAAGTTTGAATATACGGATATTATTTTTTGCAATTTAGGAAAATATAAGCAATTGTTTACCAAATTAGCTTTTTGAGTGGGATTTTCTTTTTTAAACTCGTCGTTATTGATATCACCATCACCTTCAACAGAATTTTCTTGTTTTTCCGACAATAAACTTTCTCGATCGGTCATCATCGAAACCGATACTTTTAGTATTTCAAGCTAAATACAAATAAAAATCCGGACATTACTGGTTTCACATAGTTTTTGGTGACAATATCATGTCTATCCTTAAAAGACGATTTTTCTTCGCTCTCATTTCCATCCGTTGATACTGGAAAATATGGGAAAACGATTACAGTTTCAGGATATACAAATGACTTTAAAGATCGATTAACAATAAATGTACCCAAATCGCTATTTCGTCTCTGCTGAATTGTTGTTATTATAATGTTGAGATGCCAAATAATAAATATCGGACCACTTATTAGGTTGTAGACGTCCGCTACCAATGGGACGTTGCTTATAATAGCAGGATCCTTAAAGTAGTATAAAAGATATTTATCTGCTTTAAATAAATATAGAGAAACTAAATTTTGCGATATCATGTAATCGGAACTTCTCCATATCTTAAGACGTTTCAGGCGTGCTTCCAATTCAATCACGCAACAATCGATAATTATAGGCGAATGATTACCCCGTTTAACTTTGGTAGTGGTTATGTATTTACCTATAAGCAATAGACTACCACGAGAGTATTGTAAAAACGAAGCGTTCATCAAGGATTTGCATTTCTCCAAATGCTTCCCATCATTATCTGTGGACGATGTGCTCGTGACAGGCGATGGAACTGATTTGTAAGTGGTCAACGTATATGTGTTGCCTTTCGAATTATATGGAGTTTCCTTAAAAGGTTGTTGCGTATTTTCTGCTAGGTTCTCCTTGACAGACTCACATGCTCAACAGATTTCTCCAAATCACAGCTAACCAAGGTAAAAAGAAATGTTCTTCTACTACCAACTAACAAGATATGACCAAAAGATCGTTCCGTGTGATAATTACTTTATTACCACTATTTGGTAAGAACATATCACCTGTCTTTTTGTCGTTTTATTTATTAAAATGATTTAAATCAATTGACGTCAAGTCCAATGCAAATGGAGATCGCGAAAATGAACAAAAACAATGAAAATTGCCGTTAAGTAACGCTTTTTGTTTTTGTGATTTTTCATTAGTGTTGTTAAGCTACAAATGGGTTGCCACTCCTAAGATCGTAAAAATTTAATACAAAAAACGCTATAACGCTATATTTTGGCATTCGAAATTGATGTAAAAAAGCGGGTGTGGCAATTTTGTGAAGTTGCCTATAGAAACTGAATCTTTATATGTTAGAAAGTCTTAATTTTCAATATTTCTTGATGAAGATTCGTTCGTACATTAGTGTAAGATAATTAGACAAATAATTTCTAAATTTAAAGTAAATCTTTAGCTTTGAAAGGAACTTTTGCAGGTTGATGATAGCTGCAAATTGTTCCGTTTGAAGCAGAACTGTTTTGTAGAGGTTGATGAAAGCTCTACAAAATAGTTCGCAGTGAGAAAAAAAAAATAATAAAATTCAAAAAAATAATTAAAAAAATTAATAAAAAAACAAAAAAAAAAAAAAAAAGACGGAACAATCTTACAATCTTAGTTTATAGAGTTTTATTATTATTAATTTGAAACTTACATTTAAGCTTCTTTAAGATTTTAAATTTTTATTACTTTGTAGTATTGTGTTATTTTGTAAATATTGCAAATTTTTTTGGTCAATAAATCGAATTTAAAAAAAAAAATATTTTAAGACCTATAATAAATATTCGTTTCAATTCAGTGTAAGTCGTATCAGTTGAAGTTGTTTTGTCTCAGTTTCTCGCATCAAAAATCGTATATTTTTCTTTCACTTCTATCAAGTTGCAAAATTCTTAGTACTAGCGCCAAGATAATCACAGGATTTTTATATATGTAGTAGCTTGTCTCTGATAGTTTTTATATTCTACACAGATTAGGTACAAGGTATATTAAGTTTGTGCGGATGTGTACAAAACTCATAGGGACTTGAGATAGACTTACCTTTGATTTCATCGATCGATTTAGAGGATGAGTCGATCTCAAGGTTGTCTGCCCGCCTGCCTTTTTTTTTGAAATTTGGTGTAAGGCCTTTTTTTTCTTTTGCTTTTAATATCGACTCAGGGAATCTCGTTTATTCGTGTAATACTGTGACCGTCGAAATTAATGAGGCAAAAAATAACAGCTGCAGCCTAGTATATTCTATCTTAGCTTTAACAATTTCATTAAAAATAAAATGCCTTTTCCATTATTATTGGAGCGAATGTATTTTATATCGATTTCTCCCTTGATTGTCAATGAATAATAAATATTAAACTGTTAATATATCTATTCAGATATTATGCTCACCGACATGCACGATCTCCTTAGCAAACTCCTCCACGAGCATCCGGAGGTGTGGCGTTCTTGCCGGACATCAAAGAACGGAATCTACGATGAATTGGCGCGCAGATTTAACGAAAAATCAAACCGCAGAGTAACTGTCACGTGGCTTGCAAAGACCCTAGACCGAATCAGAAGAACGATAAAAAAAATTGAGGAAGGGTCGTCCTGTACCACTACCACTCTTACCGCATATGCGTGGTATGCTGAAGAGCTGGGATATAAGAAGGCAGCTGCAACCATGAGGAGACTGACAGCAAGGGCAAAGGCTTCTGAAGAAGATATACTTCTGGCGAAGGAAAAATGTCGTGGATTCCAAGATGGCGAAAAGCGTCTCGAAACATCCACCATAGATGCGGTTCTAGCCGAACTAACGCGTACGCGGCGCGAAACGCAGTTTGGATCTGTTCCTAAAGCTTATTCGATTGCGTCATCGCCAGGATCGACGGAGCGATCCACTCCAAGCGAGATGTTGATGCCCCGGGAATCAAAGAATGAAACATATGCCTCGATTCTCCTACACAACTTCCTGAAGGACTCCAGAAAAAAAGCTGCTGAGGCTGCAAGTCGCCGGCAATCGCATGGCCCGAAACGCGTCTGAATGACCGAAGAGGACGACTTTGCATCGGCCCAGGACGACTTCGTATCGGTCTATGCCGAGAGCTATGATGGTCCGTCTACGTCCGCCCAGGCT